AAGAGAAAACAAATGGCAACTTGAGTCCTAGGGACCTCCAATGGGAAATCATGAATTGAAGCTGCACAGGCCAGGAACTGAGCTGGTTTAAATGAGTTCTTCCACAGTGAAAACACTGTACCAAATGATAATTGGAGCTAATGCCTTCAGGCTTTTTCCTTGCCTGTTTTACCATCATCATAACTCAATTCATTAACAGTGGAGCATTCAAAAGTACAGATTTTGCATTGTTGAACTCTCTCGTTTTTCAGATGCAAGGATGACTTGCATCTGCGATCTCTGCTACTGCCTCTGTGATTACATCTTGCAATCAGCTGGCTGCTGCCTGCATTCCTCCCTGTGTACACTTATACTTCTTTTTTAAACTCGGTCTCCCCCTCTTGCGATTAAATCATCATAGCTGCAATCTGGGTTGTCCCCTGAATACTCCATCAACCCCTGAGTGAACTGTTAGGTGGCAGGACAAGCTGCTTCCCTTTCTGCGTGGTTTCCTCAAGAATGTTCAGCTTTCAGACCAACCCCTGGATAGAACATCTCTGGTCCTTGTCATGGTTCACCTGTGCTTGGTACCTGCAAACCCTTCCTTGGGGGCCTGTAACCAGCCCAGCCAAAATGATTCAAAGCAACTGCTTAAAAAAACCCCAACGAGCAGTTAACGAGTTTGATTTAATGGCAAGAAAAGGGTTAGAGGCCCTCACCTTCCCTTACCCTGCATGGCATCCAACTCACACCCTCCCCACCCGTGCATCAAGGCTGGAGAGGGCTTCTCTGCCAGTCTCCTGGTGTTTGCATCGCCTCACAAACAACTGCTGGCCACTTACAGCACCTTTTCAGGCTTCCGCTTTGGCCAACCATTTGTGTTCATACCTGGTTTATACTCACTCACATCTGGAAACAAATCATCCTTCCAATAGTTCAGCTGCTGTTTCCTGAGTTCCTTTGAAACTACTTATTCTGAGGTGTCTTACCTCTGAGCATGATGTTACCTCACGTAGCTGGACAGAACAGCACGATGGAGACAAACTTTGACACTCACAAAGGGATATCATCCCCCATCTCTGTTCTTTACTGTTAGCATTTCATTTGCTATAGGCAGTGAAAATAAGTGACTTTTTAATTGCATATTGTCAGTGAGTATTTCTGACATCATCATTAAGCAGTATGCCCACATGCCTCGATACAATACAGGAACACCACTTTAGAGACTTTGTCAGAATTTTAAAAACATCACAATTATTGCTATCTTTTGTTTAATTTACAAGAGACAAATTTGTAACAACCTTAGCAATAGCTTTTTCAGATATGATAGTTCTTGACCCAGAACCCTTCGCAGTTATGACACCTTTTTTGCTGTCTGTCCTTTCCAAGATCAAGGATAAAAAGCCATTATTCCGCTTACAGGGATGGCATCATTTTCACACAGATTAGAGACTTTTGCTTAGTGTGATTTTCAATCATTGCTTAAATTAGGTCTACCTGTTCAGTGTTGTCAACTCCTATATTTAATAATTCTATTGAAGTTCCACTAGATGAAATACGGATCTCTATTTATATGCACATTTTCCGAGTTCTTAAGGCTTGAGAGAGAAGTTTGAACATAGGAAGCAGTCCAGAGACTTCAGGAGGCAAAAAGAACAGGACTTTAACAGCTTCCTGCTAACTTCATGACTTTGATGGGGCATGGATGTTTAGCAGCTGATGTTTATAAACATGACTGTACATATAGTCATTTCCCTAGTATCCAGGGACGGTTCATCCTCTGTGGCTGCAGAGCAGAAGCCCTGGACAGACAAGCCATTCGTGTGCGCAGCCTGCTCAGAGCTTTTGGGGTGAGGAGCACACCATTCAGCTCTGGCTACTTGGCCTTTGGGATCAAATCTCCTCCAGCAGCTGGGGGGCTGCTTGCAGGAGCCTGATCTATCAAACCACACATGGAACCAACTCCTACTCTGTTTAGTACAAACTCCAGAATCCAGTGCAGGAAGAACTCTTCCTGGGACCAACTGGTCCCCTTGGACTACAGCCAGTTCCTGAACTTCTGAATGCTCTGGGCTCAAAAAGGGCACGGTACCAACTAAAATGCCTGGAAAAAGTTCAGCTTGAGTGCAGTGTTTGGTCTAGTGAGTTCTCTTCATTCCCAGAGCCAGCTCAGGTCTACCTGATGCAGAACAAAAGCATGACCAAAGCTGGTTGTACACGGTGCCAGTCTCTTGTCCGCAGTGAACTCCTCATT